GGAAAAAAGTCCTCCCCAGTCAATATCAAACTCATACCCTTTGCCTGGGTTTGAATTTTGTAAATTTATTTAATATAGTCCTCCTTCTGGTCCCCCTTCATTCCTGCTGTCCATGCTTTTGAGGTCTCCCACTTCCTGCATCTTTCTCTCACAAACACTGCTCCAGTGAGGCTGGCTCCCTCCTTACTACTCTTTGAATGTTAACTGTCGTTTTCCAATGCTATTCAAGTTCCTCCTTAATATAAAACAATTAAGTATAGCCTGGTGAGCTTAATACACATTGATGCTTTTTCTTCACTTGATCTTAGCCAAAAGGCCGAGAAGCGATGATGCTTTTTCTTAAAGAGGAGATGCATGATGTGAAAGTGACAGCCTGAATACAGAAATACAGTCAGACCACAGTGTCCACAGGGGACAGCTTCCTGGACACCCGTGGGTGACCAAATCCTCAGATACTGAAGTCAGTATGAGATGGTGTATGACTTACATATGGCCTAAACCTTCCATGTCCAGATCACTTACAGTACCTAATGCAATGGGATGCTGTGTAAGTAGTTGTATTGTTTAGGGAATAATGACATCAAAAATGTCTATATTCGGTACTGACACAATTTTGGGGGCATAATTTTCTACCTTGTCCAGTTGAATCCATCCACGTAAATTTATGCACACAGAGGCTGTGTGTAAGGTTGCAGAAGTTCCTGTTCTTGACTTCCTGTCAGTTCATGGCAGCGCCCTTCTGTTGTACATTGAACAGCTTTGCTTGTTTGGAGGTCCTTGTTCAGTCCCATTGTACATCAGTGTTCAGGGGAACTGTTACAATAGAAATGTGTATCCAGCGACAGGACCAAAGGCAATGTGAGACCACACATTATCACACAATATCACAACTCAAAAACTGAGTCAGGAGAGGTTGAAATTTGAGAAACATTTCCAATGAGTGACTTAAGTCTTCGTACTAGTCATTGGACTAGTGCCTCTTTTCCTCATTTCTAGCATTGTAGGGTAGAGAGAAAAGGATAGGACAGAACATTTGCCTGTTTTAATTTTGTTTGTTTGTTTTGAGACAGTTTCACTATGTAGTTCAGGCTGGCCTTGAACTCTCTGTGTAACCCAAGTTGGCCTCAAATTCATGGCAATCTTCTTGCCTCAGCTTCCCAAGTGCTGGGATTACAAGATGCACCACCTCACCTGGATATTATTTGCCCTTTTATAATGATAGAGAGATGTGAAAAATTCATTTTATTTTTTAAATTTTTTATTTTTATCAGTACATGTTTGCAGTGCATGATGGCAGTCATTGTGGAGTTGGTACACGTGTGTAACACGCCCTAATTCTTTTTGCATCGCCTTCTATCTCTTGGTCCCTTTGCATTTGCAAAAGGTCTGTCTCCTTGTTTCAGAACACTTGAAGTAAGAACACTGATTAACACAAGTTGTCTGAAATTTGAAGGGAAGCGTTCCCACGCCCATGATGCAAACATAAGCCCAAAGCACATCTTGTGTTCAAGCAGTAGCAAAGCTTCCCAGCTGCCTTCCCCTCATCAGTTTCGGACAGGCCCCATGGTCACTGTCGAGGGAAAGGGACCCTCCCGTCCGGTGAGCTGACCGGCAGTGCAGTACTGCATGACTTCAGCCTCTTCATGGGGATTCGTGAGGAGCACCATGAAGTCTGGAGTGTGAGAAATGACACACTCCACATGCTCACTTCAGAGTCATGCTGTAGTCTCAGATCAAATTTGCCACACATAGAATTACTCACTAAATATTTATTAGTAAGTAGGTACAGGCTGGAGAAATTCCAAGCTGTTTGTCCCTTTAAGTGTTCCCAGTCACTGCCTGATGTCAGAGGTTTGTTTTGGCAAATATCTTCGAAGATTCCTGACCTAGGAACCATGACCCTTACTGTTAATGTGCAATTCCATTGTCCCAGAGTTCACAGTGGGACTCAGAACCACTTACAAATTTAGCATAGGGAACCTCTTTCACCCTGCTGCAGTGATACGCTCACTTGTAGTCCCAGAGGCTCAAGGGGCTGAAGCAGGAGGATCACAAATTCTAGGCCAGCTTGGACAACTTAGTGACACTCTGTCTCAAAATTAAAAAGAACAAAGGCCAGAAGACACAGCTCTCTGTGGAGGCTCTGCGTTCAATCCTCAGTACTTCGAAAAGAGAGAAAAGAGTGGAAGTCATCTCTATGAATAAATAGACCTCCTGGGATTTTTATACCTGTTTCATAGACTCTTTTTTTTCCTTTTAGTGGTACATTTTAGGTGTATAGTACAATTACATTCATTATTGGGATCTTGTACCTTTACATGACAAGTCTTGCTAATGGTTCACAGACTCTTGAGGAGCTCCTCTCAAATGTTTTAGCCAGTGAGAGTAACTGTAATTCCTCTCTGGAGAGACCATATACTAATTCCTCAATCGGACATACAGCCCTGGTTTTAAACACTCGGCACACATTTCTTGTTCAGTATACTAATGAGCAAGTCAGTGGTTAGTGGTTGGAATAGGAATGGCAGTGGAGCCTGTCGTAGTAAGCCAGGGATAGGCAGATCTCCAGTCCCTGCCTTCCCACAGAGAAGCTGGAAACACCTGTGTTCCAGCTCTCCCTGGGAATGCACACCTTTGGTCACATTCAAATGAATTGCAGACGTTATGATAAGAGATGTAGGCATTTCGCATGTAGGATGACCTCTTTGGCTTTGAATTTGTAAGCCATCCTTTGGAGTTTGGAAAGGAGTAACAAGAAGTTTGGGTAACTTTATCTTTTAAAATTTCTATCCTGTATTTTAATTCAGACCTGATGTTCTTTCTTCCTAGATATCCTTGATGACATGAAAGATGATCTTTCTCCATTTTTGCAAGTTTATAATTACAATATCCTCCACTCCAACTCTTTTGCTGGGTTTTTCTTAGACTCTATAGCTGTATCTTGTATTTTATGAAGTCACTTTGTAGTTTAGTAAAAACTAGGAGATCATTTGGCTTGAATGTGTAAGGAAAAAATTTCCCTTTTTCATTTTTAGATGTCGAAATACTAATGTGCAAGAACTTGAGTGGGGGCTGTGGTGCTGCATCAGGGTAGCCTGCCCTGGGCCCCAGGCTGTACTTTTGTTTTATATTTTATTTTTATTTTCCCTCTCTTTTACTCGGCCCAACTTCACTCTGAAGATCCAATTTTTACATTACCCTTCACTTTTAATAATTCCTACATCAAACAAATGTGAAACTTTGCCACTGTTGAAAAGAAAAAAGAAAAGAGGCAGGCAAAGAAAAACATCCAGTGGGACAATTATGTCCTAAAACTTAAACAGCTTTTCAAAGTAAAGCATCCTTTTTAAGGACATTCAATTAATATTTGATTAAAGAATAACTAAACCATGGGAAGTTTTGTTTTGGTTTGGTTTTTTCAGACCTGGAGATCGATTCAAACCCAAGTCGTTATACATGCTAGGCAAGCTCTCACCACTGAACTACGTCCCCAGTCCTAGGGAAAAGTATTTTTCAAATGTCAAAGTAATAAAATAAAAGAACAACAGCTGTTCAGGTTAAATCCCTTAACCTCTATGAAATTTTGGTTTCATCATAAATAAAATGAAGATGGGATAGTAAATGCTTCACAAAATTATTTTAAGGATTAATAATATAATGCATGTAAGACCCATAGCATGGTGCCCAGCACACACTTCTTCAAAAATATTAATTATTATTAAGACAAAAAGAGAATAATCTTGAGAGGGTGCGAACAGCGTCTTGAATGATCTTGGGAAGATCACATAATGCATGGGCTACACGGAGGGTTCCGCACTCAGGCCTCTCTGTGAGGATGAGATTTAGGAATGCCTGGAAACCCAGTGTGCACAACTAAGGGAATGACATTTGTAGGCTGTTATTAAGGTTTGGGCAGAACATTAAGAATCTGCAGTTCTGCCCTTCTAGGTCTCCCGTTAAAATCCTCGCAGAATTGAATTCCTGGCGTCACAGACTCCAGCAGCCCTGGCACCTGGCATCATGGCGAGTGGACCCTTTGCAGCACACGTGCTGTCAGAGAGCGAGGTGCCTCACTCCGTGTGTTTGCTTTCCAGTAGTTTCAGCAGAATGAAACATGGGACCGGACACACAGGAGAGGGGGTTTCACAACATCTTTGGTTGCACTTGCTGCTTCCATGGAGAGTTTAACTTTGGAGAAGCACGTGGGGTTCTGGACTCCGTTTCTTCACAGAGCCAGCCCTGGTTCGTTCTGGAGGAATGGACTTACAGGGGACTGTGAGCTCGCCACCTCCTCCTACTTAAACCACTGTGCATTACAAAGCCTACTCTTAAATTGGGATGGAAGCTTGCCTGTCACTTCTCAGTGCTGCCATGCTGGAAAACGTCTTATGAACCAATGTGACACGCTAAAGTTCAACTTGCTGTACATCCATAGTGCTGTATTCCCAATAGCAAAACACCCCTCTTCCATAGCATGTATAATAGCAGAACATACTGTGTGGAGAATGAGTGAATGACAATTTGGAGCTCCTTTATGCTTTGTGGAACTAAGCTGTTGAGAGAGAATAAAGGAACATAAATCAAGATGTTTCTGTGGTGGCTTCTGTTTCACATGTACCAAACATGTCGAGGCATAATTTAATGGCTTAGCCGCATTAGAGGCATAGCTTATTTTCTCATATTTTTCTTGTTCTTATTCCCCACATTTGGTTTAGAATTCTGTGAAATTATCTCTGAGTTTCTAACTGCAGTTTCCATACTTGCTGATAATGGGTTTTACTATTAGCCTGACTCGTGTCACCCCCTTCATACTTCCTGTGGCCAGTAAAGCATCCCACACCCTCCAAATGGTGTACCGCCAACCTGCAGAATGACCAAGACACTGGTTTTCCTGTATTTTGAGGATATCACCTTTTCTCTGTGCTAAAGCAGCAAGGCAATGTACTCTCGAGCATACGCACAGTTTTGTGGGGTGACGTTCTTACTGTATCTTCTTTTAGGCACTTTGAGCAAAGGAGACTCTGTTTTTTCGAGTCCTGATGTCACAGATATTGCGCCCAGTAGAAAGAGGAGGCAGCACATGCCCCAGGACCTCGGCACAGATCCGAAAATGGCTTTGCAGGGAAATCAGCTTCAGGAAAAGAAAAAGTAAGTCACTTCGCCCTTTGCTCTTCCCAGACAGAGAGCGAGGTGCGATTCTTAAAATCTGCAATATAATGTTAAAAAATATTATTTGTGAAATTAGTTATTTTTAAGAATTCAAATTAGAATCTTGGAAATTATAAAATGTTTGAATCTATTTTCTCTTACATTTGTCTAATTCCTATTCATATCTAATGCAAAAATGCCAAAAACATATGCAGATTTTTTCTTATGGTTTTTACAGATTAATTAGAAATGGCATGTATGGTACTGAAAATATTATAATGCATCTTGTGTTCAGTAAAGTATTTCAGTCTAATTTATTGCTTAAAAGGGATCCATGCAGCATTCAAATTAGCCACTTGATTTGATTATGTGTATTTTTTAAGTAAAAGCCCTCTTTCTAGTCATCCACGTGTTTCTACTAAATTTTGGCATTATATATTTTATTTTTCTGTTTGCCACTCTGGTTCCAACTACTTTCTATCAATCAACTTTCCATTGTAGTTGTAATGATTTGAAAATTGCAATAATTAACATTTCGTTTTAGCAAAGCCAATGAACATTTATAAATAATGTTATCAGCTAAATCCAAAATTAATGTGTGTAACATTTGTAAAGTTTCATTCATTTATTCAGAAAGTGAAACTTAGAACTTTCTACACAACAAGCATGTACCCTTAACGCTACAAACCTTAGAAGAAGACATCCTCTGATAGTAATGTTAACCTTTATTCAGTGTTTCAAATTAAAACCGCTATCTGTAGTCCTGCCTTCCTAAGCGCTCTTCTCTCGCTCACGGTGTAGCTGTATTTAGTTTTACGTGCTCTAGCGGAGGCTTCCCACGCAGGCTCAGAAGTGCCTGATTCGGCCCAGACCCCCTCCCCACCAGCCCCGCAGCCCAGTCCGGTATCACAGCGGCACCTCTGGTGCCTCTGCGTGCGGACCTTGCATCTGTTTCCTCCATTCAACCTCGCTAATTCTTCATTGCAAGGTTGTAAAAACCAAAGCAGGAATGAACTGATCATAGGTGTTTGATTTCTTTTTTTCTTTGTACAGGACACTAAACAAGTTTATTTGGTTTTCTCCCAGGCCTTAGTTTTCTCACCTACAAAGGAAAATATTGAACTAGATGATCTTTAGCATTGCTGCACCTTGACCTGTGCACCATTTTCAAAACCTGAATATGAAATAAGTTACTTACATGGTAGAAATAATTATTTACGTGTGTATTAGCTATTATCAATTAAAATTCAATTGAAAATACAAAATAAGGAAATTATTCATGTTTTAAATTAATATACCTGTAAATTGTTTGCTGTCTGAAATTTTAGTATTCTAAAAATACTGTGCCATAGGTTACTGCATATTCTTAAACTGGACAATAGTCTGTGAAGCAAAACTGCAGTGTTTTAAAATGTTTATTGCAATGCAAGGGATCAAACTGAAGACTCTGTGCATTCTAGGCAAGTGTTCTACCACCAAGGTAAATCCCCAGCCCAATAGGAACGTTTAAATTTAGTTGTCCTATGTGAATTTGGCAGAAACCTTACAAAGTAAGTATTAATTCACCCTTCTTACGGATAGGAGGCAGTCAGGGCTCGCAAAGATACAGTTATTTTTCCAGAGCAACATGCAGATGTTTTAGTCCCACATCTCTGCTTGATCCATTTCCCGAAGACAGCTTGCTATCTGGGGAAGAGTAGAGGTGCCCATCTGTAACTGTGTCTTTGCAAGAGTGCAGTGAGGGACATCTCCATCTCACTGGAATTCTGCCCCAGAGTTTCAAATACCTTTCCATAAGCAGGAATGAGTTTAGGGTCTTTTACTTGAACCTGAGAAGGCCTGATCTCTGTTAAAGAGATACGTGTTGGGAGCTAATTGGTCGGCTCTCAGAAGCAGGCTCCAATAGAAAGTCACAGTGTGGAACTCATGCATCATATTAGGTTTGCGCTCTTGGTTCGAAAGTGGAGTAAACTTTTCATTCTGAAAGGAAACTAGTTTCTTCTGAGTTATTGGGATGACATTATGAAGTAATGATTATAATTTGGCAGCATTTAATAAAAAAGTTATTTTTCAGCTGAGAGAAATTAGTCAATTGGTAAACTTAAGAAGTGTATGGGTATTTACCAAATATGTCTATCAAATATTAAAATATTTATAGTAAAGCCATTCATATCAGTAAAAGTGCTGAATAATGAAATATGCAAACTAGTTTTCACAAGAAAATGTATTTAAAAGCTAGTAGAAAATATTAAACCAAATTTTAAAAAATACTGTTGAGGTATATTTATGTCACATGAAACATGAAGAAGTGAATTCCATCCCTCTGTGTTTGTTTTTGGTAATGATTATGTCTGAAATTAGAGAAATTAAATGAAAGCAGAAGGATGTAACATAATGTCACCCACGTCTGTCCAGTTTCTTCATTCTTAGCTCCACTCTGCTTCTATGGTAAAAACAAAAACAACAACAAAATAGGTTTTCCTTCCAAACTAAAGTTCAGGTAAAATCAAAGCAACCTTTCAGAATGTCTGGGCTTTAAAACACAATTTAATGGGTGGATAGTAACATGATTAGTGAAGATCTAGCATGTGATTTATGTTCTGTAGATGAATTAGAAAGCTATATGCATGTAATTTTTCAGTAGATTTTTTTCAAGTACAGTCATTTGGTAATGACTTATAAAGCAAAATTCCATCCTTATGAGAAAATAATTATTCTTCATCTATATAAAAAATCAACAACATTGAGTAAGCTAAAATGTATTTGTAATATTACGCTTAGAGTATTCTAGTAGGTGTTTAGAAGTTCCAAAAAAATGCCACTTCTGATGTCTTAGCAATAATCTGTAACCCAAGATATAGGTAATTGTCTAAATTTCTAAGTTAACTCTAAAAAATGATGTTGACATCTAAAGTAGAAATTACTTGCTTTATGGGATAGTAATGTTTTATGATATTAAAAACTATATTGTGCACAGAAGTTAAATAACTTACCTAAACTCAGACAGGTAGGTAGTGATTTTTATAAGTATTCAGTAGATTAACAATTGATATACTCTAGTGAACATAAAAAGAGAAAAAGATACCCTCCTTTCCCTCGGGGAGGTCTTTCCAACTAGCAAACATTATCCACACAACCTGTTTAATTACTGTTGTCACGTGATTATGTTAGTATCATGCGGAAGTAAACTGTCAGCTCTACGTTTACCCTCCCTGCATTTTAGGAAACTCTTGAACTGTATGGTGTTCATTTAATTTACTATGCTGAAGATGGTATTTCCTGCTTATATAAAACCTTATAACTAGAGTTGATTAAATAGCTCCTCCAGTATGTTCTAAGGACATTGAATAGAACTAACTCTTAAAGGATGACCATTGTCTAGAGTCTTCAAAATTCTAAATACTTTAGACCATTTGTGTGTGAGTGAAGATATTCTACCACATTCACGTTCCTCCTGTTTTTGGCCGTGTTCAAATTTAAAAAAAAGAAAAAAGATGAACTGAGAGTGAATGTAGTATACAACTGCGTTTACTTCTCAGCGATGAAGAAAAGATTGTACAGCAAGTTTTCATTTTACAGTTCAGACCATCTTATCTTTATCACCCTTATATGTCATCCAGGAATTCTGCCTTTGTTCCTTCTCTTCCATTCTAAGCCCATGTAGCACTTCAGGTATTATCCGCAGTCCTTTCCAAGACTGTCATTTCCCCCCGGGCCCCTCCTAGGGCGGCCGTAGAGTTCCACTCCTTGGAGGACAGCTGCAGGAGTCCATGGTGACTAAAGAGCTTGGACACGTGTTCCGGCTGTGACTTTCCTCACACTGGCACCCCTGAGCTGAGGCAGCGGAGCCCTGTACACAGGACAGCTGAGCTTCCATGTTCCCTGGATAGATCATGGTAAGGTTTAGCAGGAAGAGAGGATGTAGGGAACGTAGCAAAGAGGGTATGACTGGGACCATCGCTTGGTGCACGCTCTGCAGGGTACAGGGGAGTGAAACAGCGCGGAACAGGGAGTGCCGGGGTGGGCGGTGGGCAGCACAGAGAGCAGGAGGAGAGGGCTTCAGAGCCCAGAGGGCCGCCGAAGCCGATCCCAAAGGTGTGGAGCCGTCAGGATCATAGCCTTTCCTCCTGGCCAGGAGCGCCCCTGCTTCCCACTTTGCAGGGACCTTTGCTTCTGCTTCCCCCACCTTCGGGCACTGCTTGTTGACTCGGTGAAATTTATCAAGCCGTCTGATAAAGGAGAAACTCTAATAGTTCAGCCCTTCCTGCACTTCTTAATCTATCGATTTAAAATTAGCACCTAAAGTTATTGTACTTTGGGTTTTTTTTTCTTGGTTGTTCTTTTAAACTCTACTTTAAAACCACTTAATGTTGTACAACTTTGGATTTCCTGTAATAAAACTTTCATCCTTTTGAAACACAGGAAACTAGAAAATTGAAAACATACCGTAGCGTATGTAGAGTGCTCGCGGGGTAACAGCCTCAGCTGGCGTGTGTTCTCAGTCCTGAGGTGCAGCATTCTGCTGCCATTTCGCCTTTTTCTGGAAAACATAAATGCTTTTTTCAGAAATATTTTTAGATTGTTGATGATTTCCCGTTTTTAGTAAGAGTCTGAAATCCTCGAATCTGGTATATATTGATAAATATTCATTTCCAAAAAATCGAGTGTGACTAATCCGCACAGTATGACTGCACTTGAGACGCGCTCGTCCTGCTGTCAGCCAGCGTCCACAGGAGAGGCCATTATGCAATGCGCCCGACCATATGCTAACCATGCCCTTCCCACTTACTATCTTGCACTCCTTCAAACTAGGACTTGGAGAGTTGTTCAATGTGTCTTTTTAATTCTTCTGTATATTAAACAAATGAACTAACTGGCAAAGATGCCTTTTATGTTTATATACTTTGGTAATATCACGTGAAATGCTGAGGAATAAAGAAGGCCATTATAAAACTACTTTCTTTAAAAATATGTCACAATGTATATCTAATTAAAATAGG